TTTATGCTTCTTGGACAATAAGGCCACTTTATTTGTTTTACCCAGCTCATTCAATAATACTTTTTCCACTGACTGTTATATATAACTGTATACACCAGGTGTTGAAGGTTGCTTGGACAGAGGTCCTCCAAACTACGGCAAGAGATCTCCAACCAAGAGGTTCTACTACGTAGGAGAAAAGGTGACATACTCGTGCGACGAAGGCTACACACTCAAGTCTGGTTACACTAAGGATGTGAGGTGCATCGGAGGAGGAAATTGGCAATATGGAAAACCCAGTTGCTCAGGTAAGTCTGAAAACATCAGTTTTTGCAACAGGTGGGTTGTACACAGCGTAATATCTGTTTTATTGTACGTTCGCAAAATATTCTTTTGTCACGTTAATGTTTGTGGGGCAGGTAAACATGAAGAGCCAAAACATGAACTTAAGTCACCACAAGTTATTTTTCCAATGGCCATTCAAATTGAACGCAGTTTTCATTGTTTGATAAATTATAAATGATCTAACACACTAAAACCAGAATGAAATAAATCCTTTTGTCCTGTGTTTGGACAATTTATCATCACGCTTCACTCTCAACAGAGGTGAAGCGCGATGCTTTTATCAATTAGTTAAACTTATGCAACGCCTCACGTTTTATAAAATATAGGCACAAAAGTTTGACAATCAATTTCATATTTACCAGTTTCTGCATATTTTACGGAATTTATACACAAAAACACACCCTTCTGCAGTAAACCACAAGCAAAGGCTGCAAGAGGATCTGCTAAACATTTCCAGTGCAAGTCTGCCACCTGAGAATGTCATCATCAACTTCACTGGATCTGTGGTACAGCTTGTTGTCTTGGTAAGTGCATATACGCTGTTGAGCACTTTATACCACCTTTAGTTTCCACTATAAACTCACTTGTAAGAGCAAAAATACACCTTAACTCATGATAGAACTTGTATTCCAGGATGAAAAGAAGGAGCAACTAACTGCATCTGTTGTCATCGATTTCGTAAGTTGTCATACTTATGAGAATATCAATTAAAGTTAAGGAAAGTTTTTGCAGACAATATTTTGGTCACGTCATTTTGGACTTTAGACGTTAATAGCTTTTCTTTTTTCGTCGTTTTAGGCATTAAAATGTTTCTTTTCGTTAGACATGGCAGGACAGCCGACTGAGTTGGGATCCGAAGTACTACGATGACGTCACCAAGCTTAGCGTTCGAGGCAACGACATTTGGATACCGACATTGAATCTGAAAAGAAAGTACGCCGTACTTTTTCCATTGACACTTTTTAAGCTATCAATCCATTACCAATAAAGGTTTAAAGTTATAATATTAAATATGAATTTGTATATCTGAACAACACAATGGCTAGGCTTTGCGTTATCCCAAAACTGTACAACCTGTATACTATGTCTATGCTATTTCATAAAAACACAAGACAACGTTTTAATACAATTGACAAAACACAAACTGCCAAAATTTGTTGGTAACTTCGCAGTGCCGATCCGGTCTACAAAGGCCTACAGAAGGATGTGCCGGTCCGAGTGAGCAGCGATGGTCGGGTGGAATGGAGTGTAGAAACCCTGACCACCACCGTGTGTGATGCAGACCCCTTCTTCTTTCCTGCAGACACCATGGAATGCGACATCTGCTTTTCTGCAACTGCAGCTATCGCACAAACCATCGGTAAGGATTTTGCAATAATTTGTTACTTACTTTTTATGTCCGTTTTCTTTTTCAAAGATACATGATGCTATGTTTGGCAATGTTTTGCAGAAGGAGGAAAAAATCACGGTTTGGCATCCGTGGACAAGAAAACAAAATCTTACAAAATCTTATGTATTTTACATTTCTGATACCTATTAACAAAAACGAAGGTTCTAATTTATTTAAACAATATGTTTAATATAGAATGCCAAGTGGAAATGCCTGTCGTCGACATGGGAATCACTGCGTGCAACTCTTACTCTACTGCAACATCGGCGGGTGAATGGTACCGAAAGGATAAGATCTTCGCCAAAGACAACAGTACAAGTGAAGCGTGCCTTGCTGTTCATCTGTCGAGGATCCCGCTGTTCCACATCGCCACTACTGTAGGACCCTGCATCATCCTGGTGGTACTGATGAACATCACATTCATCATGCCCTTAGACAGGGGTGACCGGATCGCGTTTGGAGTGACCATTCTACTCTCCATGGTCGTGTCTCTCGTGTTTGTGACAAACGTACTTCCTGTCAAGGGGGCATTGCCTCTTTTCGGTGAGTAAAGATTAGATATACCCTCACAGTATTGTTTTAAAAATCATTTGTTCAGGACAGTGGCAACTTTGATATGACTCATTAAGCATTATGGTAACTGTTTACCATCTCTAATGTTACAGCTACGCTGATCATCTTGTGGATGGGGCTGATGGGATTATTCCTGTTCTTCACTCTGGCCATCATCGTCATTCACGACCGGCAGGGCAGCCTGTCTCCCCGGGCGAAGATTATTTTCCTCCGCTACATTTCAAAGTACCTACTTTTTGTTTGCTCAGTATATCGTATCGATATATCTGAAAGAACCATATCTTATCTCTACACATAACCATCAATGAACAATCAAGCATACTCAGTGTACCTAAGACGCGCTTTCTTTCCCCCAGCAAAGATCTCATTTTAATATTATAATGACATTGAAAAGAGCAATGTGCGAGTAGAAGATCGTAAATATGCAATAGGTCTGGTGATAATTGCTGTAGTTTCACCACCCACTACCCCTCCTGCTATTTTGCAATTGTACTGAGCAAACTTCACACCCTCTTTGTATTTTCAGTGTTCCATGTTAGAAGACTTCATAGCTTGAAACATGCTTGAAAAGAAAGTAAAAATGAAAAACATTTTCTTAAATACAGCATGAATCCACCAGATCTAACTCAAGTCTATATAACGGGGTCTTACAAATTGGCGATGGAGCGCCGATTTCAACTGTGCGTGGTTATAACCTCCTTGATTTCAGCCATGTTCAGACAATCTTTGTTCTCCATTTTAGAACCAAATTATATACATAGTGTATTCCGAATTCGAGGGGATTATATTACGGAATAATCAGGGAGGTAAATTTGTACTAGCGTTAAACGCATTGTGTGAACCATAGAGGTAGAATTATAACCTACTCGTGTGAACGAAGACCCATTGCACGCTATATAGGTCCAAAGATATAGCAAGGAGGTTATAATCTCATAGTCCCTGGTTATTTAGCCAGCGTGCGTCGCTCAATGTCCAACTGACAAGGGCTGACAAGGCCTGTGCATTATATATATATATTTAGCCTTTATCAGGCTTCGGAAGGTAGCAGGAAAGAGTAAGAAATTGGGCGATAACATGCACCCGGGCGCGGCAAAATGTACAGCAGATCCAACTCCCTCGGCATATTATCTCTCTATTTGGCCAATTTCTAATATTTCCAGCCACCTCCCAGAGACAGGTAAAGGCTACTGTGAGGGCCATAAAAACAAGATTCAAAATGACCATTTTATGTGCTAAATGTTCTTTAGTTGCCCCTATTATTATTAAAGAAAAACTAGTACTACCACTATGTAGCAAATCAAAGCTACCATTATGTAACATTTCACGTCATCAAGATTAAAAGTTAAAGTACGTACATGGCGCTCAAAATAAACATTCTGAAAACGGAGGGATGACAAGAAACTACATGAACTGTATAATGGTATATGCAAGAAAGTTTAGGGAGATACAGGACATGGTCGTAGGTGCATGTTCGGAGCCAGACAAGTCAATACACAACCAAACGATTTTTCATCTCACTGGGCCAGGGTTAAAAGTCTATTAGAAATTTTCTTCAGATGAATTAGAACACATCTAGCTATCCTTTGCCCAACAGTTAGAGCTGTTGTTCAGGTTCATAGCTGCTATGTATAAAACTACATTTCAAACCCAGAACTTTCGATTCGAGGAGTAAGAAACAAATGTTTAAAAACAAAGACTTTTGTGGTAAAGTCTGAATTTGAATGGACACATGCTGCCGTCTGCCCTCTATGCATAATTAAAGATAATTGCCAGTAATTGCCTTGAGTGGAGGTTCCGAAAACAATTTCATTTACAGTCATGAGGCTTGATAAAGATTGACAGGTCAAAGAAGGAAATCGACCATAATTTAGAGTTTTAAACTTTAAAGCCCGAGACCAAACTCTTCCCATTGGGTTACAAAGTTGAAATCGGGTGCAAACAATGTGTAAGAATTTGGTTTCTATGAATCGGTTTTCAGAAAAACTACTTTATCCCCGTGTATCTAGCTATTGGTAGATAAAGTCATACCTACCTCCTAGAATTCTACCAAAATGGACTATATTTCAAAATATTTTAAAATCTAAGCTATATTATTCTTTCCTGGAAACCGATTCCTTTAAAGTGCATATCTCTCCACATTCTCTGAAAGTTTTGTATTACAATTCTGAGCGGAAGGGTTTGGTCTAGGCCGATTTTATATAGTCACAATGATCTAATATTATTATTATTTATGGAACAATTATGCAGATTTCCGAAGGAAGAATTAGTTATTTAGAATCAGTGGTATTTCATCTAAGTTACTTCCAAATTTGAAGTTGATTGGTCGCGCCAAATTTGAGGTACATGCGATTTCACGGGTAGCTCTGTATCACCCCCATTTTAGTCCAAAGCGCGTCTTAGGTACACGGAGTATATTTCGAAAGTCTTGAAAATCATGTTAGTCATTTCGATTATTGCCTGTCATTTAGGATGTTGCTGCTGGGAGATCTAACAAAGGAGAAGCGTACAGGTGACGGAGAGGCTGGTTTGCCTCAGCTGTCTGACATAGAGATAACCAACCACGCCTTTCAAACTGATGATATGGCGGCCGTCTACGAAGGAAAAAGGTGTGGTGTTGATTATAAGTCAAAACTTAATTGACACAACAAAATCACTGTCACTCTCGTAAGGTTTATAACTAGACATACAGACAGGCACGTGGGTACAAAAGAATGGACCTACGTATTTCTGCAGCTAAATCAACTAATAGCTCTTTCTTGTAAGGTTCTAAGGTTTCAACATTCTCTAATATAGTTACTTATCTGTACACAGTAATGGTTACTGCCTTTTAGAATAAAGGTGAATTATTCTCTTTATTTCATAAATGCAACGAATTCCGTTAACCCTCAACAAAACACCTTCCCGGACTGATTAATCTGTACACCTGGGGTCCGCGCCAGACCCCAGAACAGTTTTTTGCTAATTTTAGAAATTATCAACATGCTACCAGCTCAATTGTTTTGCAAACTGATGTGGGAACCTCTGTGTCCACATTACATACAAAAATCATACATTTTGAACTTTTTCAATTTTTTTGGTGAAGAAAAGAAGACAAGAAGAAATACCCGATTTTTAAACCCATTTCAGACTGAAGGGGCTTTTGAGGCCCAACTTTGATCTCAGATAGAGGCTAAACGGCTAAACGGCTTGCGCTAGAAGTATCAAATTTGTAGACCTTTCCTAAAATGTCTCAGGAAAAAAGTAAGTTCATATTAGTTTAATACTAGTAAGTTGATGTTTTTTTTGCGTTGCCATGGCAACGGGTTTCTAGCAGGCAGTTTTTTTGAAAATAGAAGTAACTTTGGTTTAAATATAAAAATTTTCTGAGTTTTATATTAAATTACACTTCTTTTCCAACATAAATAACATCTTACATAATTAAATATAAGTTAAATCATTTAATATGCATAGAATATGCTAATTTGATGACGTCATTGGTCAAAATCCAATATGGCGGACTATATTATTAGCTCTGACGTCATATGACGTAATAATTACACCAAGTTATTAAAATTTAATTCTATTACTACACCATTCTCCGAAAACTTGGTAGACATACGATGAGTGCATAAAAACATATAAAAACGGAAATAAGGTAATGTATAAGAACGCCAGTGTATCCATTATGATTGAAAGCCGGCCCGCGCGGACCCCAAAAGAAAGTCAGATATAATTTTTTTTTTATAAATGGTAGAAACGGTGTTTTCTGCACTGTATTGAGAGACAACTTTGTGGGTGACAATTAACCTAAAATTTCAGAAAAAAATCTTTAGAAAAAAAAAAGATATTACAGAATATATGGTGCTGGGGTCCGCCCGGACCCCAGGTGTTCTGTTTAGGGTTAAGCAAGCTGAAAGAAGGTCGAAAAGCTTTCTGCGTTTCTCATTTATAATAAAACGCCTTTCATCTTCCAGGAGCACCGGGCAGCCATCAACGCCTCCCACAGCTACAGGGCTGGAGACCACCGGTTCTTCCGGTCTACCTGAGCTGATCTCGTGTGTGAAGGAGATGACCAACCAAACAAAGGAAATGACCACGGTTATGAAGACCGAGATGGGAGGGCTTAGAAAGGAGCTGGGAGAGTTGACCAAGGCCATGAACAACGAGGAGGAGGTGTCTGACTACACCCTGCTGGCTAAGGTCCTGGACAGGCTCAATCTGGTCATGTACATCATCAGCATCGTGATTACAATTCCTATGACCATGTATTTGGGCAAGTAAAGACCTGTCAAAAATAATATTGATGATATGAAACATTTGTGTAACCAAACCGAAACACCTGGTTTATGCAAGTTATCTCGTAACGTTGATTGTAAAAGATGGTCAACCGCTTACGAAGTTTGATCCGCTTTGGGTGAAAAGTCTTTCCAGCATTTTATCCAGATACAATGTTGTACATATACTTGTTAAGGTCATGTTGATTTGATTATATGGATGGGATAATCTGGGAAACCCAACACTGATACGAGCGTTCGATTAAACAAAAGTTTGGCAAAAACGTTTAAAACTATGTGTTCATGAAGGCAGAACAGAAGAGTAGACACACACATTATGGTATGGGGAAAAATGGAAGCACAACACTGATGAGAGCGTGCGATTAAAAAAAGACTACACAGAGAGAACACACAGAGTAAGGTATGGCGAAAAAATCGACTCTTCGTTTTTTTTCTTCACATTTTCTTCTTTTTCCTTTGTAATTGACATTCTATGGCATCAGTTTCATTTTCCAATATTTTAATCCTGAAATTTATCGGAAATATTTGCTAATTAGCTGCGTGTACGATTTATAGTATGGCTGAAAACATTTTTTGTAAACGGACGTAAAGTCATGCGCATGCGTATGTCATCCATAAAATCAAACAACATGGACCAATATGAATATCTAATACATTTTACCACGTTATTTGATCACTTTAAGATCTTTTTTGAGCCTGTATGTAAATCTACGCATTCTTAATTATTACAACCAAGCGGACCTGACTTTATTGATGACATCCTCTGGGCCCAAAAACTAGGCACACTATAATTATATTTAAAAAAATGCATAGATTTTGAAATTTCAATACTTTCCTATTCTTTTCCTTTTTCAGAAAATTTTGCAAAAGCCTTTCAGGATGTTGCTTGCCGTATTTCAGAGAACTTCTACACTCTTTCCGGGAGTACTTTCTCCTTTTTTAGAAGACTGTATAAGACACTAACTTCCACATTTCCTCTTTCATGAGAACTTTCAGAAGACAGTCGTCTCCCTTATGAGGTAGATTATTCTCTTTCAGATCGATACAAACACATTGCGGAGGAAGTTCTGTATGAGTAAACTATCTGAAAGGACATCTTCTTAAAATTTGAACACTAACTCGAAAAAATGCATTTCAAAATTCTAGTCATGGGGTCAATTTAAAAGAGGCACTTTTTCCCAGTAGCAAATAAATCAGAACTTTCTGGGATCAAGAATCCTTGGCCTCTGGTGAGAAAGATATTCTTGATATATTAAGACCTTCTACCTTAAAAGCAAGAAGCTCTTTGTGGACACAAGAATCTTAATTAGAGAAAAGTATTCTTACTATAAGAACTTAAATCTTAGAAGCAAGAAAAACTTCCTTAAAAGTAAGAAGTACTTTCATGTGAAACATTTATTTAAGATCCTAATTTTTAATTTGCAAGAGTATACGAGAATATATATCTCAATGCAAGAATAATATTCTAGATGTTTCTATACTCATGCATGGATATGATATAGCTACATGAATATAAGAAACCGTTAAGAAAGATATTATTACCCACAAAAAAATTAAAAATCTAAAAAAAATTATAAAAAAACTTCTTAATTCGTGGACAAATTCTTTTTCTTACACGGAGAAAGTTTTCTTCCCTGAAGGACACTGATTTTTTTCTTTGTGGAAGAAGATACAAGAAAAACAAGAAAATGCATTTTTACGGTGTATACAGTGGGCACTACAGGACACTACAGCTCATCATGCACGTAACAATACTCGTTGTATCCTCCTACGATTTGTTTTAAATGTAAAATGACGTTAAACAACTAACAAGGGAGTTTACATTTTAATATTGCAACATTAAAAAAATTCTGTTACATTTATGTATTTTGGTACATAATCTCTATGGACACTATAACATGGTAATTAATGTCTGTTATTTTGCTTTTTTTTTAATGTAATACTTATTGTTAACGGTACTCTAGGAAAGATTATCATCTAGTTCTTAGCAAAACATATTAAAAACACCGTACGAAGGCATATTTGAAAACTGACAAAAACTGAAAACTGATAAAAATTGACCATATAAGATCTGACGCTACTATTTACATGTATGATAACCTGTTGTTCTTTTGTTGAATTAAATTTTTATATATGGAATATATAAAATACATGAAATATATGTAACACAATGTATAAAGAGTATGATATGATTTTTTTCATATGATAAGACAGAAATATTAAAATCTATTAATTGGGAAGTGTTATGACAGAAACGGTTAAGGATTAAAAAATGTTTTGCGTTAGAAATCATTTTCATATCAAGTCATGCATCACGAAACAAAAGATACAAGCAAGCTTTGCATGCTGGGTAACAAACATCGTCCACACTGAGACAATGTTTGTAAAAACCAAACTTGAGCGCTTTTTCTTTATAGATCTTGGGTATTCATGTATACACGCACACGTATAAAAAAAATCTAACACCATTCATGTCGAGAAATTCAATTTGTGAACCCGTAAGAGGTTTTGCTTGATAGAAGTTGAAAGGTGATCAAACCTCTAATTCACATCAAACGCACTAAATCAAATCGAATCTATTTATGCAAACGTGAAAGAAACATGTTTAATTAAACACTACTCACATCGAGACAATTTATTAAACACGTGTCACGTGTGCAGTTTTAGGTAAAGAAATAGGAAATTGTGACCTTTAAACAATAGCTTTTTACTGCCATTTTTAGTTGACCCATTTTTACTCTGTGATGTGTGGCCTTTTTAGTATATTTTACTCCGGTTAGAATAAGATTAAGTAAATCCATACGTACATTCACATCAAGGTTTAATGATCTGAGCTACTGTACATTAATATTTTATTTCAATTTATAATAATACGTGTACGGTATGCTGCCATGTGAAGGTTCTTTTTTCTATAGCCAAAAGGTACTGATCGTATGTAATATTTTTTTGCCTGATATTGAAAAATGTATGCACGTCTAGAGGGACAGGTAATGCTGTTGAATACAAGAGAAAGGAAACTGTTGGTTGTGATATCATGATTCGTAACCTCCATTCTTGTTCAGCAAGGTTTATGATCTCAAAATTTAAATGTGTATTGTTACTTCTTTCATACACCTCAGTTTTTTCTTTCTTCCCTGATGCATTCAATTTTGTGTCTGTGAAAGATTTCATCCATAAAATGTACTCGCTGTGTCGTAAGACTAAACAATGGCAACTTCCGATAAGAGTGGTCACATAAAGGGAAAATGTTGTCGATTTGCAAGAAACTAACCATGTATACATTTTAGGCCTCTCATACAACTAGCGAAACGTCACTAACCATGGGCTATTAATATAAGCGTCATATATAAGACCCATGGGACCTTGCTATGTACAAGTGTATACGTAGCCATGTGTGTATTTCTAACAAGAATTAGGTCTCTTAGAAGGCTTATGAGACCGTGCAGAGTGCAGGTAATCACTATAATAGTTACAAAAAACTTAATTACATTTTTATACTCCGGCCTCCTTTGAATATAACCGACGACATCGAGCGATATCTTAAACAAGAAAGCTATTAAAAGCTGACATTTCGCCGATAACTGTAAATGAAGGAACACAGTGTCAATTGAAGTGCACTTTCTATAAATTAAAACTTAACCCTATTCAGACGGGGGGGGGGGCTTTTGAGGCCCGCGCCCACTTACATCTCAGATAGCGCCTAAACGGCTTGTGCTAGCACCGTCAAATTTGGTGACTTTTCCTAAAAAAAATCTGGAAACAATTTTGCATTAATAAGATAAGTTTGTGATTTTTCGCGTTGCCATGGCAACGGGGTTCTGACAGGCAGTTTTTGGAAAAATCAGTAATTTTGGTTCAAAGATACATTTTTTCTAGGTTTCATGTTTAATTAAACTTCCTTTTTAACATCAATAACATCTTATATAATTATATATAATTTATATCATTAAATATTCATAATTTATGCTGATTCGATGACGTCATCAGTCAAAATCCAAGATGGCGGACCATATAATTAGCTGTTGTGTAACCATGATTTTTCACTAATTTTTCGTCTCAATTTCGAGTTTTTTTCAGATAAAACGTCCATTTGAGCATCTTTAGTCCATTTGCGTTGCGTTTTGAGGCAATATCTTAAACAAAATGCAATTTTTCAAATTCAAGATTTTCGATCCAAGATGGCCGACAGTTTAATTATGCATGACGTCATTTTATGACGTCATTTTGACGTCAGTGTTGTTGCCAAGGGCAACATAAGTATTAGCATACATTAATATTCCATCATGGACACTTTTTGTTAAAGTTTGATTGTACTCCATTAAGTTTTACGGAAAAAAGAATGTTTGACGGTTTTACCCCAAAATACATATAAATGACATCATAATGACGTCACATGATGTCATAATTACACAAAATTGTTAATATGAATTAATTTTATTACTTCACCATTCTCAAATTTTGTGGCCCTACGATAAGTGTTTTTTTAGTTAAAGGGGGCGGGCCTCAAAAGCCCCCCCCCGTCTGAGCATGCCCAAAAAAGCCCGGTCTGAATAGGGTTAAAGTTGATTGACTATGCAAATATGTGCAGCAACATTAGCTTCCTGTGGCATGATGTACTATTAATACCAAAGACAATAGAGCTGAGTCAGATAATAGTATTGCTGTGTAAGCTAATTGTCAATTAAAATAAACTCAAAATCAACTCATACAAACTTGTCTTGTCTGGTTTATATTGTCTACAAATGTAGCAAAGACAAACCAAAGTTCTTTTTAAACTTTCTTTCCACTTTCTTTCATTCCACTTCCACTTGTAGGCTACAGCAAGTGGCCTCTGTATAGTGTATATTCGGCACACTGCAGTACCACTACATGTATTAGAATATACATGACAAATATTTACTAGAGACAATCTTTACATAAAAAAAGTTTCTTTCCTTCCACTTGTAATATGTATGCTACATCAAGTGGCACCCTGTGCATCTGGCA